CAAACAACATTAAAAAAGAACCCAAACACCCAAAACCGACAGCCAAGAAGTTTACAAAACCTTTCTCTTAAATAACTTCTGGGTCCACGAGGAGAGAAAACGGAAATTGCAGAAACAACAACAACTAAGCTCCATGCAGAACGTGGCTCACACGAGACCCTGGAGACACGGCCAGAGCCGTTTTCAGGGGATGATCCAGAGCCTTCAATATTCCATTCATAAACCAAAACAACAAAGCTAAAGAAGGCAGAATTAATAAATAGGAAAGTAGACATAAATTGCAAAACATAAAATACAAATGAATAAATAAATCCTAGAGCTGGTTCTTTAGAAGAAAAATATAAGGACCAGGGTAGAGAAAGCAAATACCACGTGGACATTAGAGAGAACTATATGGATTGATATAATTTCTGATAGAGATTAAATGGGAAAAACTAGGATGAAGTATCATTTATGTTTAAAAACCACAAAAGCTATATATGCACATGGTTCTTGTTCATGCTCAGAATGTATCTGGAAAATAGAAGAAAATGGTGTCAGGGGCTTTACCCCTGGGAAGGACGGCAGACAGGAGTGAGAGTGTAAATATTTTTACAGTTTTAAAAAAATTTATTTTGTAGCATTAACATGCATCATCTGTTTAAGAAACCCTTGTAATGAGAAATATGTTTTAATGAATTAGAGTATTTACAAAGGTTACAAAGGTACTTAAAAAAATCCCAGTTGGGTCTGTTTTCTCAAGGAAGAGAAAGATAGGCATTCACCCTTCAGCTTTATGGACCTAACAATTCTTTTCTTCACTATTTCAAGGAGTCTAGCTTAGCAAGTGACCCAGCGGGCCTGCAACAACATTTGCAGAAAAGCAACTACGTGGTCCAGAGAGTATGATTTGGAAGTACCTTCTACAGATGTTGAGTTTTCATTTCAAATGAATGCACTCTAATCTGCTGCAGTGAAAAGCTTGTTGATTTAGTCTAATTCCCCTGGTGTTGAAGTTCTGAATGAGGCATTGATATCTGATGATTGTACATTTACAAAGTTGACAGTCTGACAGCTTGTTCTCTTAAGAGGACCCAGTGAATGCAAAAACAATGTCAAGAAGATATTCAACTTGGATGGGGATCAAGATGTGGATTTCCTTATGTCTCTCCCTAAGGGGCTGAGCCAATGAAGTAGGGCGGTACCCTGCCATGGTGTGAACTTGGGCCCACCTCACCTCCGACATCACAACGCAACAAGGAGATTCTACCCGGAATGAAGAACTTCAGGGCGGAACATGCACCTCACGCAGAAAATCACTCCCTAGTGCCCACACATTGCTGTGTGAGAGATGGTAGCCCAACCTTTCATCGGTAAAGTTCTTTTACACATACAAGAACTGCGTGAGCGATGAATAGTAAAGAACAAGGAACGACATGAATATAAAGTACCATGGTCTTGTCAAATGAGGTACACATGGCTGGTAACGTAGAAAGGCAGTGGAAAAGGGCATGGCCCTCAAGGAGATGGAATGACACAAAGGTTGCTAACAATGGGCTTAAGCACAGGAACAACTGTGAGGATGGTGCAGGACTAAGCAGTGTTTCATCCTATTGTGCAAAGGGTCGCTCTGGGTCAGAACAGGCTTGATGGCACCTAATGCCATAGGTATCAGATTACTGAATTGGGCATTAAAAGATTTCTCATTCTGTGGCCCACTACTTTTCTAGGTCTATGTTGCACTTGAGTTAGAATGCTCACTGAAACAAAAGATTCCTCATTTGACCTCTGCCCAAAGCTAGTGTGACTCTGGGTGGTCTCACTTCTTAGGACCTATTTTCCTCATTTGTAAAATAAGGGGGGTTGCACTACATTAGCCTTTCTTGCTCGAAATTCTATATGTGTTTATTATAACTCAATGCCTTAGTAATACAATGACACATTTTTCAAATGGAAACTTGGACAAGTAGAGGGTACATATCTCTTTGATGCAAAATCCCCGAGGTCAAAGGCAAAAGGGCTAGTGAAGTTCCGGGCTGTTCTGCCACTACGTTTCAGACTGTATAGGGAGCCAATGCATTAGGCAAGACCGAGAAATTCAAGAGCGCTATCTTGCCACTGTGTGAACTTGGGTGACTGGGCCCACCTTGGACACCACATGCAATGCAGCAGCATCCGACTGGTCTCATCACAGGAGCTCTGATTAGGAGACACCTTAGAGACTAAAGCCTTCTGCAAACACCATACTTTTAAAAAAAGCACATCGAAAAACATACATACACACATACATACAGATACATATGAAATTCCAGGACAGATCAGTCCCTGGAAAAGGACACAAGGAAGGTAAAGAAGGGCGGCCCCAAAGAGGAAGGCCCGGACTGAGCTAGACTGACACGGTGCTCACAACGGTCTCAAACAGGACAGCGATTGTGAGGATGACAAGGGCGGGATGGTGTTTGTTCTGTGGTCCATAGGGTTGCCTTGGGTCAGAACCAACCAATGGACCTAACAATAAAAACAACAAGATATACTCATATAATCCCAGTGCGGCTTCTCTCCTCAGTTATACAGTCCCAGGACTTATAAAAGTTCCAAATACAGACTTGGTCACCGCCAAACCGAACTTTGACTCCTGATTTTGTCAATTATTCCAGTCCATGGCAACGGGCTTCTTTTTGGGTGGTAGCGGTGGTTGTTCATATTCCCTTGAGGTCCCTGGGTGGTACAAATGGTTTGTGCTTGACCACTAACCTATTTGGTTTGGACCAGAACAGTAAAGGCCTGGCCACTTATTTCCATGAAGACTAACCCAAACCCAAACTCGCTGTCATCGAGTGGATGCTGATCTTACAGGACAGGGTAGAACAGCCCCTGGGAGTCCCCAGGCTGTAACTGTTTACAGGAGGAGAGAGCCCGGTCTTTCTCCTGAGGAGCATCTAGTGACTTTCAACCTGCGGATCACAGTCCAACACATAACGACTAGACCACTCGGGCTCCTACCCAGAAAGCCTTCAGCCGAGAACACCCCGTGGAGCACCGTGCTAGTCTGTGTACACTGTCGCCATGAGTCAGAATCAACCAGACAGAAATGGGCTTGGTATATGAGTCTGGGCAATTTCCTTCTTCCATTTCACACCCGATGGCATGGGGGTCATGCACTGGGCAGCCGTCTGCAAGGTCTGCAATCTGAAAACCCCCAGGCACTTATAAAGAGTTACAGTCTCAAAAACTCATAGGGGCAGTATGACCCTGTCTAAAAGGGTTACTATGAGTTGGCATCAACTCGATGGCAGAGTTTTGTTTGGTTATCGTAGCCTCAGCCTCTAACTGGGCACAACAGTAAAAGTACCTATACCATAGCAACATACATGGGACATGCCAACTAGCTGCAGAATCCCTTAGTAGGAGTAGTAGTAATAAGAATAGTTGCTCAACATATCAACCAAATCTCCCTGCTTCTCTCAATACTTTGGTTTGCGTTGTCTTTGATTACATGACTTTGTGTTAGTTACTACCCTACTATTATGCAAAGGCAGACACTTACTGAGCAGTTTTGAGGATAAAGCACAATTCAAAGAAGCAGCCTCTGAATAGCGGCAGACAGGAATCCAGGTTCTATTTCAGATAAACCTTTCACCCTACTGCCATAGCGTCAGTTTTGACTCACAGCAACCCTACAGGACAAGGTAAAATTACTCCTTAGGATTTCTAAGACTATAAAGCTTTATAGAAACAGCCAGCCTCATCTTTCTCCCACAGAGCAGCTGGTGGATTTGAATAACAAAGCTTGCAGTTAGCAGTCTAATATATACATGAATGAATTTACACACAACACACACACAGTTTCAGGGAAGGACTATTAGATACTAGAACATATTTCCTTATTCTGTTAGTTTTAATAGTTATTTAAGATAATATACAAGTAATCTTATTCTATGTCAATATTTTAAAAGCTAGGAAACAATTCAGCATAAAAAGTGAACACAAACTCAGACTGCCTCAGGACAAACAAGAGATACCTGGTGGTGCAAATAAGTAAGTGCTTGGCTGCTAATCTCAAAAGTTGGCACCTTCCAGAAAGGCTGTGTAAACACTGGCTAAATTTTACAAGCGGAACCTCTGTTATTTCATCTGCGAGTGGGATAATACTCCAGCATTCCGGTTGCCAAGATATCATTTAATCTGGATACTATTCATTGAGCACCTTCTTCATACCATTTATGATACTAGTACTTTGACATGTAGTATATCTCTGTGAAAATGCTTTGTAAACCTCCAAGCACTGTTTAGACTACAGCAGAAAGGTACTATAAATTCGTGCTGATATTTCAAGTCCTAGAAGTTCCCAAACTCAAAGCATACTCGTTGGCATCTACTTGATTCAGATTCACAGTAACCCCTTGGAGACTGAACCTTTGTACAAGCCGACAGCTTCATCCTGCCCAGGGATTCCTGGAAGGCACAGGGAGCATCGGAGGTGGGGTGGAGGGGTAAATGTGGACCTAATTCTACACAACAAAGAATTCGGGAGAAGCTGAAGGGAAGGGTCAAATCATAACACAAAACAAACTAAAGAATGCAAAAGACATCTACACATTTTCCTGCTAAGACTTTTTTTTAGAATACAAGTTTTACGTTCCCCCTTTTTCTCAAGCTATCCCAAATTTCCTGACAGCATTTACACCTCCAGACTGTGATAAGCATCAATTATATGGAAGTCTGATGGGTCTTCAAACTCTAAGCCCACAGTGCCCAGACATGTATGTAAAATGTCCACTCTAAAATCTCCCAGGCACCCCGTGCATGCACACGTCAGTGCACACACACATCCTACCCCACCTGTTTCTGCTGACTCTTGGCAGACTTGATTTCAACCTGGGACGTGTTGTTAAAACCCAGTCATGGAGCTTTGTCTCTGGAGGCTTATAATTGAAAAGGATACACGGTGCTTGTTACTGGACCCATGGTGCCAAATTGTGAGGGGCGAACTGCTGAGACAAACTCTAATTACCACTCACCTGTTTTGCTGTTTCGGTGAGGGCGGCAGCTTCTGCCTTGCCCAGTTGTTGCACCATCTTGTAAAAGAGGCTCTCTTTATTTTGCAGCAAAACATATGGCTCATCATATTCTTTCAGTCTTCCTGAATCCAAAACCTGTTAATCAGCAGAAAGCGACGCATTAAAACACAATGTTGTGCAGGAACATATTATAACTCAGACAATATTTCGGAAAGGGGCAGGAGAGGGAGAATACAGAGCATCTAGTTGGGTGGTAGGCCTGGATGATGTTTAAATGGCTTGATTACCCTGTTTTATTGAGCAAACAAAGGCCTGGCCTTGCCTTTTATTATCATAATGCTATAAGAAAAAAAGAAAATGAAAGTTGTAAGCTATTATTATGGGCACTCAGCAGTCTTGGGACATTACATGTTCTCCAAGGGCATGTTGAGTTATTATCATTAGTTAAAACTTTTAACTCTCAGACTCTATGTTCGGGGGGCTAGTTATCCACATCTATTTTCTGAGTGGGGAGTATTCTTGGTTTAAGACAATCAAAGCTCAATTTATCGAAAAGTAGGGCGATGTCCTCAAACGAGATGGCAGTGACTGGACAGCAAATTAATTACCACTACGGTTTCATAGAGCCGGCATCGTTTCTGGAAAAGACAGGAACACTTCTGGGATTCCTCGGTTGCCGTTGTTGTTAGGTACTGGCGAGTCGGGGGGCCCTAAGCGAGAGAGTGGAAATGCCACACAGGGCTTTCGAGGCAGTAATCATTCTGCCTCGAAATCGGATGGAAAGGGGTTTTCTAGAGTCTCTGGGTAGATTTGAACCATTAACCTTTGAGTTAACAGCTAGTTCCACAGGGAACCTAGAGTCTGCCAGCTGGGGAGTAGAGTCACATACAGGGCAGCAAGCAGGGCACAAGCCCTTGTCAGGGAGGTTAAGGTAGGTGTACCCTTAAGTTGGCTCTGGTTGTAGTTTATTATTCTGAAAGTGGAAGACTAGCTACTGGGGCCCCTATTTAAGTGGCTTCTGCGTAATTACTTTGCACTGGAAAAAAATCTTTCTTTGGATAAGACTAAAGAACCAATTCAAACACTGAGCCCCAGATTTCAGCCATCAGGGCCCACGCAGCAAGCGGGGGCAGTTCAGTCGGAATTGCCGGGCGCCTGAGTATCTGCTTTCCCAATCATCCTTCCCTTGCTTCTTTCCTGTTCTTGAGCTTCCTGCCTTTTAGCCGTTTTAGTGCTCATTAACACATGAGCTGGGAACGGAAAGGGAGAGGAAGGGACTCTGAATTCTGTGTTTCCACTTATTGCTGGTTCTGGTTAATGGTTTCGGAGGGAACAGTCTAAAACAATTGTCCCAAATGCTGTACCTGGGAAAACATTTCGAATGTTGAGTGGTACTTGGTTCTCCATTGATGCCATATTTAGGGGAAATTTATCTGAAGAAAATACCCTGACATTTGAAGTGGGACACAAGTAGTTCTTGTCTCACGTCCCCACCGCACCCCCATATATTTGCAGCTAATTCTGTCTCACGTCATTTGATCGGAAACATTTATTAAGTCTCATCCAGGTCATTTTCCTGTGAGTCTTCCGTTGACTACTGTGAATTACTCTGCAGGGCAAGCTTGATCAAAAGAGTTCAAGACTAATTGAATCTGTCACATCCACATGCTCATTAAAAGATCCTATAATTTGGCATGTCAACTGAGACACCCTGAATGTGTCATTTTACTTAAGCACAGCCTTGCAGGAGGGGGCCCACACCTCCTGAGGATAACGAAGAAGAACAAGAAAACAATGCAGTTAAAAGTGCGGGGCTCGCTCAGGCAAAGAGAGGCGAAGTAAATCAGTGAGTCCCAGTACTTGGCAAAACTGGAGGCCCTTTTTACTGCAACAGTTTCACAAACACTTTACAGATCGCCACTTGAGAGTGGAAGTGTGCGTTCTCGGACCACACCGATCTTACCGAATCTGCAATGGCAAGAAAAGACAACGATCTTTTGCTCTTGCCCAACTACTACTCTACTGTTCAAAATTCGAGTTAATAAGAAGACTTCTTCTTTCCCCACAGACTGTCTGAAAATGCTTAAGTGCCACCGAGATCAGCCGATCGCAGAGACGACTGGTGAAAAGTCTAACTCACTGCCAGCGAATGGACTCCAACCCTCTAGAACCGTGGATCTCAACCTTCCTCATGCCGGGAGCCTTGAACACAGTTCCTCAGGTGGTGGGGACCCCCAACCATAACATGATTTTCGTTGCTACTTCATAACTGTCATGTTGCTACGGTTACGAATTGGGAGACCCCTGTGAAAAGGTCGTTCGACCCCCAAAGGCGTCGCGACACGGTGGTGGAGAACCGCTGCTCCAGAAGACTAGAGCTGCCCTGGTACCTTTTGGAGACTGTAACTATTCAGGAGTATAAAGTCCCATCTTTCTCCCTTGAAGGGGCTGGTGGGTTTGAACTGCTGACCTTGTGGTTAGCAGTTCAGTGTACAGCCCACAACACCAAACCAAAGCAAACCTCCCCTGTCATCAAATCGATGCTGACTCAGAGACCCCCTGGGATTCTGAAACTGCTGATGGGAGAAGTCTGGTCTTTCTCATAGGGAGCTACTGGGGTTTTGAACTGCCCACCCCCACCAAGTCATTACCCCACCAGGGCAAACCCATCGGCTCTCAAAACAGAAATAGGATTATATAAATGATAGAAAGAGCATTTCGGTTAACATTTGTTGAGCCTCATCAGAATTAGCAATTTCACGATGGTCCATTGTATTTTATGAAGGAAGTTGTTTATTCTGAGGACAGCTGAGATCCTTTATCATGTTGATGATTGGTAGTCTTTTCTTTCCGATGCAGATTACGTAAAGTCTGTGTAGTTGGAGAACTCACACTTCACCAACTTTCAAGAAGTGTCTGTGATCCTAATGTATTACAATGGCACATTTCCCTTGTACACTTTCAAACGTGTAAAACATATTTCTGTAATATGTTTTGCTTCTTTAACATTCCTTTGACATACACTAAAACAAAATGCAGCATCGTAAAAATGAACTAAATTATTATATTCCCAACTGGATGTATTTATAGGGCTTAAGAGGTAGATTTCCTGGGCAATAGTTGGTTGGGGAGTTGGAATTTAAACTAATATCTCAGCCTATAATTCTTTTGTCTGAGTTTTCAAAAATACAGATCAATTTATTTATTGTTTATTAATTATATAAGGGATATGAGCATTTTAAACATTTGATTTCCTAAGATACTTTTCACTTAGGTAACAACTTTTATTAACTTAGTATAGATTAAGAAAATATGCCCGTCAATATAAACAGTTCCCTATTCTACGTTTTATTACCGCTTTTATCATACCCAGGACTCAAACTATCCAGCATGTCCCTGGCATATACTCACAGGCAAAAAGGGGGAAAACTTTTGGGGTTTTAGCAAGTGTGTTAGTCTGAGTAGACTAGAGAAACAAATTCTTAAACACACATATGTATATAAGGCAGAGGTTTATATACAAGAGGAATTGAACATTGAGAAAACATCCCAACTCAGTCCAGTACATGACCCTAAGTTTGATATTAGCCCAGATGTCCGATACGAATCTATAAAGTCCTCTTCAGACTCATGAAACACATGCAATGAAGTCAAATGCAGGACGATCACAGGCCAGTGGGTAGAAAGTCTTTGGATTCTGGTGGGGTTGTAAGCATCTCAGTGCTGGCAGGGGTCTCTCTGGCTTCTCCAGCTTCCGAGGTCTGGTTGCGTCCATGTGGCTTGTCTTCTGCAATGTCTCCCAGGAATAGCAGAGAGAGTTGTCTTCTGTCTCCAAGGAGGAAGTACTAGATTTCCCAGAATTCTCAGAAGGCCATGCCCACACAGAAGTCTCATTGGTTATCTTCAGATCATCAGACTAGACTCTACCCCTACCACCATTAATCCTTAAATTGACACCAGATTAGGTGACTACCACAGACCACTCCTTGTCAATTTAAACACTTTCACATATCTCTTTAGTCATATATTATTTTCAAACAATAATAAAATCACATCTGTACCTAACAGGATAAAACAAAAAAGCATACAATTCATTATGTACCACACTCATTTAAGCCTAACATTCTATAGGTGAACAAAACAAAAAACCTACTATGCCTACCAATTGAAGTTAAGTAACACCTACACCTTAATCCTATATTCCTATGTATATTTATTCCCCCACCTATGAAAGTTTGTAAGCCAACCACTTCATGCCTTTCTTCCCCCATTTTGGGGAAATAATTTCTATATTTCCCACTTACATCAACCCAGTGCTCAGAGGAAACAATCATATTCTTTGACAGGAAGAATCTTCATTCCAGTTGGAACCTTGTGAAATCTGCATCCATAAGCAAAGTCAAATCAGGATAGGACATCCATAAAGTTAACAGCAATATGTTCACAGGCTCAAAAATCTCTTCATCTGGTCAGGTTCTGGTCAACTCAACGTGGACTGCCTCACTCAGCCTCCACAGGGTGCCCATTGGTCACCTTGCCTTTAGGCCACAGCCCCATCACAAATTCACAACAACCCTAGACCCTTGTGCTAGGTCATGAACTTCGGACCAGCCAACCCGCTTTTGTTTTCTTCTCTAGTTCCTGTAAACCAAGTCCACGGGTGTCAGTGGCCAGACTCAACACGTCTCTTGCTGCATTTCTCCCACTTCCACTCAACAAGTAGATCCAGGTGGTCACCTAGCAAGCATCTCAGCCTGCCCACAGGCTTCCTTTAATGTTCAGTCCCAGAGAGGAGTTTTCTTCATGGTTCCAGATTTTTCCAAGTTTTGAGAAGATCCAGTAGAGTTCAAACTTCAAACCCCCAAAGTTTCTTTATTTAAATCTCCAACCTGTCAATCTTGTCCCCAGGCAAGTCTCTGGGAATGCAAATATCCTGAATACTCCAAAGTACTGAGTGGGGCTTATCTTCTCAGAGACTTCTTTCCAGGCATGCCCTAAACCTATCTAAAGATCAAATTAATGGCTTGAGGCAAGTGGGCTTACAAGCTCTGTATTTCCATACTTCCCCAAATCATTTCTGTACATCCTTATATCTACAATAACAAAAGCAATCAGTATAAACAACATAGAATCAG